CCTCAAAATCATATTTTTTATAGCTGAGTAATATTCCATTGTTTAAAAATATCACATCTTTTTCATCCATTCTGTGATTGATGGGCTTTTTGGTTGTTTCCAAGATTTAGTTATTACAAATTGTATTGCTATAAACATGGGTGTACTATATCACTGTGACATGACCTTTTCAATATTTATTGGAAAATACCCAGCAGGTGAATAGCTGGATGGAATGGTACTTCCAATCCTAGTGTCTTGAGGAATCTCCACAGTGGCTGCACCAGTCTACACCCCCACCAACAGTGGAGAAGTATTCCTTTTTCCCCACAGTCTCATCAACATTTGTTATCAGTCGATTTCTTGATGGCAGCCATTCTTTCTGGATTGAGATGAAATCTCAGTGCTGTTTTTTTTTTTTACTTTATTTGTTAATATTAAGAAGAAAAAACAAATTTTCACAACAAAATAATGAAAAAGTTACAATTGTTGATAAACTACACATCATTATCTTTAGTCACTCAAGTACAAAATATGGGCATAAAAATTTCTTCAATCAATCTTAGCACAACCTTTCCTATTCAGTGAACTAAGTGCTGTTTTAATTTACATTTCTCGAATGACCAGTGAGGATGAAAATTTGGTTTTTATATCTTAATATGATTTAGTGGTTTCCAACTCATTCCATCATAATGACAACCAGTGTTAACACAGATATAACAAAGCATATAATACGTGTGCTTATTATTAAAGTTCTACATCTATTATCTTTATATTATACATTATAACATTGATTGTGTACTGTTATATACATAACAGTTTTGAGATACAATACATGTCATACAATTCCTCCATTTAAAGTATGCAACTCAAAAATAATAATAATATAAAGTGTGCAATTCAATAGATTTAATATATTCAGAGTTTTGCAAGTATCACCACAATTAATCTTAGGGTATTTTTAGGTACTCAGAAAGATACCATAGTTTACCTATTATCATAGTACCCCAAACCCTTCCACTAAAATACTTGCTATCTCCTAAGATGTTCATTTTTAAATATTTAATATAAGTGGAATGGTAACTCATGTGGTATTTTATTGCTGGCTTCCTGTGTAATATTCTGAAAGTTTACCCGTTGTGTAGCACGTATCAGTAATTTTATCCTTTGTTTCTGTTTGTTTTGTTTTGAGACAGGGTCTCACCTTGGAGTTCAGGCTGGACTTGAACTCACTGTGTCGTCCATGTTGACCTCAAACTTGCATCAATTTCTGTCCCTCAGTCTCCTGAGTGCTAAGATTGCAGTATGTGCCACCATGCCAAGCTATTTTGCTCCTTTTTATGACTAAATAATATTTCACTTAAAACAGTCTCGTACAGTAAAATTTCACTGCAAAGCTTTCTTTCCATTTTATGTTCAAAAATAGGAATAAATTTTGTAATACTTTTTTACCTTTGAAAGTATTAGTACATTTCATGTATTCTCTAGGTATATAAATCTGACTTTAATGACATTCCAGCCACATAGCAACATAGTCATTGGCTAAATACAGGGATATTTATCTGAATTTTTTTTTTGTCTTTTTGAGACAGGGTTTCACCATTCAGTTCAGGCTGACCTTGAGCTCACTTTGTAGCCCAGGCTGGCCTCAAATACCTCCTACCTCAGCCTCCGAATGCTGAGATTACAGGCATGCACCACAATGCCTGGCTATATGTCTAAATATGAAATAATAAAATAGTTATTTTACACCACAGGCAACTCCCCCATACACATACCAATGGATTGAGGGGCGAGGTTTTTTTATGAGTATATGTCTCTGATATGCAGTAATTATACTCACTTTGTGGAATTGGTATATACTCATGCATAATGCCTCTTGCTGGTAGAAGAGAGCTTTTCTTTTAAACCTCTTTTATGTTTTGTTTTACTTCAGAGCAGCTCACATGATACCAGGGCTCTGAAGCAATGCTCGGCCTTTGTTTTCCCAGGTGGTCAGTCAGTACTGTCAAAAGTGCCCAATAGTCCGCAAAGCACTGAGAGTGAAATAATACACTTGTAAAGAGCAAACAGGTCCAGACAAGTAAAACATAGCCTTTGAAACTGGTAAGCAGCCAGATACCTATTTTGGGGTCTCATTTGCAATCCAGACTCCCCCTTTCAGAGGCATGTGTAGCCTTGATCTACCAAGAATCCTTGTTTTTTCCCTGTAGATATTTGTTCATTGTCATGGGTTCTTGGTTACATCATCCAAAGTTACCCTCAGGCACTGAAGGATTAATGCCCTACCCGTTCTTAGGAAGCTCTTGGACATCACTGACTGGCCGCTCACGTGGGACTGCCTTGTTGGAGTATGGCCACTGTCACCGTACCCTGGTCACTCTCTCATTCAGAGGCAGGCTGCGCACAGTGACTGGCTGGCCCTAGGCACTGATAGAAAGGCCTGGCTGCCCACACCAATTCAGACAATGCCGAAGTCCTGCCGTCTTCAGGACACCTAGCAGGGTCAGCTGAGGTCTTCATCATCCCTGCATTGCCGTCTGGCTCCCTACTCCATCCAGTCTGGCTTATTTGTCTGCCTCCTACTGCTATTGATCCAAAAGTACTCCCTAATAAACCTCCCACGTGGAAGTCTCTGTCTGGGAGTCGGCTTTCCAAAAGGCCCAGCCTGCTCCAATTATGAAGCTTTTTAATGCTGTGGTAATTAGAGGCTGAACACTTGACATGTGAAAGAAAAGAAGAGTACTAGGAGGGAACACAGGTGATTCAGCCAGTGAGGTCTATTAATCATGGAAAATTATGGATACCCTTCACTCTTCAATAAAGACATCTCAAGCTTTTATCAAGACTCACTTTTGATGTTACTGTATCCATGTGTTTATCCGAGAAGACCCTTAATTCTTCCTCCAAACCTGATGAGTTCAAGACTCAAGACACCTGAGAAGACTCTAAACTGAGTTTTGTCTGGGTTGGGAAATCTTTCAGGCTTCTCAAGACCCTACACGTACTTCTTGGTTCCACTCCTGCCATTATAACTTGATGACCATGGTGGAAGCCGGCAGATCCCTGAGAAACATAAAGCCCCGCTTGCTCAGCTGAAAGCAAATGCTAGTTGAAATGTATTCCACTCAAGCAGCCCTTTTCTGGCTGTCTCAGAGAGCTTTCACTATTACTGTTGTTCATCCTTGGAGGGCTGCCAGAGCCCAGAGGAGGCAGCTTGGAGAAAGCAGGATCTGGGTAAGAAGGATTCATCTACCCATGCAGCATAGCAGAGGCAGGTTAGAGACTCAGAGTTATTAATGCCAAAGCTATAGCTAACATAGTTTCAGGCATCAATCCAAAGGTAAAATAAGGAAAGACCAGAGAACAGGACGTGAGACTAAAAAGCAAGAAAATAAGATGCTCGACAGAATTAGACTTTGGTGCAATTGAAGGCATTCATTAGAAGGAAGCCTGGGAACTGTGCCTGCTGATGGAGCTTCCTTTCTCAGGTCTCCTGGTGCACACAACAGGCATCAGTGCGGCATCTTTGTGTCTATCTGGACTGGATGACCTTTCAGTCTTCATTTCTTCTTCCCTGTAGCCCTCTCCCCAAAAATCTCACACCCTGAAAATGACTGGAGAGAAGAGAAAGGGGGCAACGTGATGGCAAAGAGAAGGTCACAAGTCCTCGAATGTCTGATCTATCCACCATGTGCACACTGATTTTTGTCTCTTATTTCCCAATACTGGAAGAACCACGGCTCTCCCACACACAGCACGCAACAGTCACCCGACAACAGACACTGGCTGACCCAGGTGAGCATAAGGTACCAGGAAATAGGTCACAGGAAAACCACTGTTCCCCCGCCACCCCTGAGGCAGAAGTTCTACCCAAAACTTCTACAGAAATCTGGGTGCAGTTCAAGTCTGTATTATTGTAACGTATGATGGGACTCATGGGCTGGAAGAAAATGGAAAGTGAAATTCCATCAGTCCAGGTCATCTTCTTTGGTAGCGTCCCGGTGAGGTCACAGCTGGAGAGGCCAGAACATGCCTTACAAGAATGCAAGGCTGATGGCCAAGGCTGGTGACTGATAGCAGAGCTGTGGGCTTGTTTGGCTTCTCGGTGTTTCAAATTGTGTCATATTTGGAGAGAGACAGCACAAGTGATTCACAAATATCTTAGGATGTGACTAAAGTGTTCGACACAAACTTGTTCTTCTTCTTTTTCTTTTCAATTTGTAAGTATCTTTGCTGGGTACCTAAGAGTTTTTAAAAGCTGGATACCAGGTTTGGCAATGGGAATAGGTCCCAAATATGCCAGTACATGGAATTTCTACCAGACTTCTCTTCTTAGAATGATGGGGGAGGGCTTGTTCTGTTTCATTTTGGTTTTTTGTTTGTTTGCTCAGGTTTGACCTCTAACTCATGTCAATCCTCCTGCCTCAGCCTCCTGAGTGATGAGGTTACAGGTATGTGCCATCATGCCCAACCTCTTCTAAGAATTGTGGAGTTCCAAAAATATAAGAGTTGCGCTTAAAACTTGTAGAGTCAGAGCAGAATCCTTTCCCAAGTGACAGCCACAGAGCCTATGCTTTATCACACTCATCTAAAGGAAAGATAAAGGTAAACCGTGCATGGGGGGCCACACACCCATAATCCCAGCACCTGGGAGGCCAAGGCAAGTCCATGGCCCTCCTGGGCAAACTAACAATACCCTGTTTCAAAATTTAAAAGAAATATAAAGGACTAGGTATATGATCCAGCCCAGATGCCTGGGTTCAACACTCAGGATTGGGAAAAGAAAGATAAAGGTAAACTAAGAAGAGGAAAAGAAGCATCTGCTTCTGTGCTCTGTGACCCTGAGCGACAGCTTTCATTCTCTGGATCTCCAAGTCCCTACTGAAACAGAGGAGATTGCGATCTGGAACTCCAGAATTACACGACATTATTTATATGCCGAGCTCTGCCCCTCACTTCCTGGAATTTTTATTATTTATGTGTGGCTCCTCCTTCCCTGTCAGTCCCTTGATTAAAGAGCTTGCTTCCCCCTCTGAAGGCTTCTGAAGGGTGAGCAACACCTCCGGACTCCTGCCAAAATCAGCTCTGCCCAGCATGCATGCTGCCCTGCTCAGAGGCGGCGGCACCAGGGCCAGCCTCAGCCTCAGTCTCCTGCTCCTGCTTGGCCTCTGGTCAGACAGAGGTGTGAGAGCCAAGGAGCTGAAGTTTGTGACAGTGGTAAGTGCGCTCTCCTGGCTTTTCCTAGGAGACTGATACCAGCAGGGGCTGAGAAGGCAGGTGTTGGGTTTCATTTCAGGCTTCTGTCCTCTCCCAGCAGAGCCTGGGCTCTGCTAAGACTCAGAAAGCAAACAATCGACTTTGGCAAGGTCCTTTCAGGACGTAACATGTAAGTCCTAACAAAAAAGTTGTGCTAATCTTTTTTTTCTTTTTCTCCTTCAGCGATGTTATTTGACTACTTTACAATTCAGGTTCCTTTTTGAAAATCACACCAGAAATGGGGAAGCAAGTCGCCCATGCACTTTATACAATGGGAGCCAACCTGGCTTCATCTGATTTATTGATTATTTGTTTGTAAGGCAAAACCAAGTTCCCCCTCACCAATATTGAATAGCTCCTTCCCTTTATGTTTATCAAAGAACTGGAGCATAAATTAGTAAATAGTCTCTGCAGCACAAAAGAGAAACTAAACTCAGAATTTTTGAGAACGTACTGATGTACAGATTTAGGTTATCCTTAAAGTCACGTGTGTGTATGTGTGACAAGTGAAGGAGAGAGGGATGATTAATCTGTGGGTCATGTCAGGAAAATCAATACACTGTTGGCACTGTTTACAAATACATGAAAACAATTTTTGCTAAGTAAAGGGAATTAATTGTGTTGTTGGAATCTTTGATTTTCTGTGTGTGGATTTTTTTTCTGTGTGTTTCTCGTGTGTGTGTGTGTGTGTGTGTGTGTGTGTGTGTCTTTCTCTGCATTTAAAATTCTACCTTTTACAAGCTCACTTACTTTTTCTGGTCTCTATTTATCCATCCACAATGAAAGTGGACTGATTAACAAGTAAATTTTCTTTCTGTAAGAATACTCAATGTTTATTTTTATTATTTGGAAGGATCCTACCTTGTATTTAACACTTAAACACGAAGTTCCTGTTTTCTCAACGTGGTGTGTTCAGAACTTTCTTCTTTACTACGTATAATCAGATAGCCATGTTTATGTAAATCATGATTCTTGGTACAGTTAATCTTTAGTAGGTAATGAGTCAACAACGACAGAGAGGGAAAAAATAAAACAGAGAAACATATGATGATATGTTTATATACCCCAGATCTGGCCGCTGTCAGATTTCTGTGCTGCGAACACAGCCTCATCTCATGTACCTCCCATAGGTGACATCGATTCATGATTTCCTCACCAACATGTTCAGTAGAAACAAATATGGGGACCGTGGGAACTGGCCGTGCTTGCTGTCTGTGTCACGCTGTACACCTGGAGCATGCTGACTGAGTGCCAAGTGCTTTGTGATTTTACGGGAACCTCCAGTTAACTGCATAGGTAGATTCTGCCCTCTGTGTTCTGTTCCCAACCTGAACTAACCTCCCGAACTATCAAATTCTTGTGTTTCTTTTTCCCCTCTCTACTCTTAAAGTGTATTCGGGGATACACGTTAATTCTTTCCTAAGGAAAACTAAAATGCCATAGTAGTTATCTTGGAATGAAAGCAGCAATGAATATTGCATGGAACTAATATTATTTTTCCTTCCATGACTTCCTTCTTTTAAAGGTAAATAAAGGGCGATGTAATACAGCTTCCTGGTCCTTAACAGAATGAACTCTTTCATGACTTAAGCCAGAAGATAACATTTTCTCTTTCACTGATTGTAGAGAATATTTGGCTTTCAATAGTTAAACTGTACATTCAGGAAAATACTTGGAACATTATTAGAAGAACTGGAGTAAAAGAGTCAAGGTAGTTACATCACACCAAGCACTGTTACAAGAGCTCAGTATGGACTGTGTCCCATAGTTTTCTCAAAGGTCCCAGAAGGTAGGGTTGCTACACAAAACACAAGACAACTCGTTGAATTAAATTTTAAATAAGCAGAGACTAATTTTTATTAGAAGTATGACCCGTGCAATATTTGGGCATCCTGTATTTTTAATTTCTAAGTCTGACAATCATTCTGAAAGCTTTTTTTAAACTTATTAACCCTATAGATGAGGACATGAGACAGAGAGGTTAAGAAATTTGTTTGTAGCTGCACAGCTGGAATCGTAGGGACAGGATTTGAACCCAAGCTGTCTGACCCATGGGCCACTAATGCCACTAACGAGAGCTGCTCTGAGATCCCTGTAAGGTTTACTAAATGAGTCTGACTTAGAAGCGGTATATGATTTCCTTGCTCTTGCTCTGCAGTCCACAAAAAGTAAGACTCTTTGAACTCCAAAAAGCTTTTTTTGGCAGAATGAATAGGAAACTGTCCTTGGTTATTGTTCCTGCCTATGATAGTCACAATATGACCTTTTGGGGAGACGGGTGGTGACTGGAGATTGAACCCAGAGTGTTCACACTGAGCTATATCCCCAACTCTTTTTTTTTTTAAGTTAATGTCTTGCTGAGACACCAAATTGCCCAGGTGAAACTCAAATTTTTAAATCCTCCTGCCTTAGCCTCCCAGAGTTTTGGGATTACAGGCATGTGCTGCCACACCTGGCTACAACACAATCTTTCTAAGCCGCCACCAAAGCACATTCCTTGGAATGCTAGTTCAGTAACATCTAGTTTTGCTTTTGAGTCTTTTGTTGTTTCTTTGATGTTGTTTGGGCTGTCCTTGAACTCACTACAGTCCTCCTGCCTCAGCCTCCCAAATTCTGGGGTTACAGGTTTGCAAATGTTACAGGTAATGACTCATTAACAGGTGCTGCACGAGAAGAAATGGGTTTCTGAAGTCAAGTCAGCCGTGGGGACAGAAAGTGGGGCAAATTGTACTAAAGGTCTCTTTAGCAGCACTACTCAGATCTTAAAAGGCACTGTTGCAGAGTGTAGTGGCACATGCCTGTAATCCTAGCACTTGGGGGGCTGAGGCAGGAGGATTCCTGTGGAAAAGATCCAAGGATCTAATTCATTGTTTCCTACAGTTACTCTGGCATCCACCTCTCACTGTAGAGAGAGCTTAGAGAATTTCTATTTTTAACTTTACAGAAACGATAGTGAGTGTGCCAAGTCCCTATGTACCCATCAACCAGCTTAAATAATTATCACTCAGGGACAGTCCTGTTTCTTTTATATGCCCAATCATTTCCCACACACACCCACTTGGCTTTTTAAAACTAATATTGTGCCCCGTATTTTTCCACCAGAAACAGGGAAACACCATTTTAAAGCATAATGTCTCCCTGATGCCAGCGTGAAATCATTAAGTGATTTCAAACCAAGAGAAATGCTCCATCTCATCCCACTGGGGTTTTATGGAGAAAGAGATGATGATGAGCCACCTCTTCATGTTCATGGCTGAGCTTCACTCCATATGGCTGACTTCAGGAAGTGTTCTTTCCCAAGATATAGGATATCCTCGAGGGGTACAACCTCCAAATCCTGAGCACATTGTCTCTGCCTGGGATATGATGAGTAACTTCTAAAGCGTAGGTGCAGAAACTCAAATGGTGCCGTCACATCACTCACACTCTTTCTCAGGCTTAGCCTCAAACCGGATACTCTAATCCCATTATCTATTTTCCAGTGCTATTCTCCAGAACAGAAGTTGCAGGTCAGACTTGGGAAGGCACTGATTAGTCACTGACTCCAGTTCCACCATCACTGGCCAGGCGTGGGACCGTACACGTGTCACTTACCGAAATAGCTGAGTTTCAAGTGTCCCAAATTGAAAGTTGGGATAACAATGATAACTATGCTTCTTACTTCACAGAGTAGTGTTTAAGATCAAATGACAGGATTCACATGTGCAGATGTGAACCGTGATTCAGTCGTAAGGTACTGCTGGGAATCTAAAATAGTCTAAAATAGAAGCTTTCCAACTTTTTGCATCAAATCTAAGTGATCTTTAAGTAGCCTGTTTTTCAAATTGTGGTAAAAAGTATAACCACATATCATAAAATTTACCATCTTTACTGTTTTAAATGTCCAGTACAGTGATGTCGCGTGTACTAGCATGCTGTACTGTCTTTACCATCATGAATCTCCAGAACCTTTTTCATCTTGAAAAACTGAAACCCTGCACCCATTAAACAATAGCTGCCCATACTTCCCTGCCCCTAATGCTTGGCCACCTCCGTTACACTTCTTGGCTCGGTGAGTTGAACTATTCTAGCATAGTTGCCTTTGTTCACCTGTTTCTTTTACTTTGCATAATGTCCTCAAAGTTCTAGAGGAGTAGTTATTATTATAAAACTTATCAGTGTGAGGGGGCACCTGTGTGATGTGAAGACAATAGAGAAACACCAAAGATTTTAGGAAATTATCATCGACTAGAATTTAGACTAACGACTCAGCTTGTTTGTACTCTAAGGAAACACAGCCATGAATTTTAGCTCGCTTTTTCTTGGGGGAGACACAGCTATATGTGTCCAGTATGATTTGAGGGAGGGAAAAGCCAGAGGTGAGAACAGAGAGGACTGTGACCACAGTCCACACATACAAAAGCAGGAGAATTGGAAAAGAATGGATGCTATGTTTAAGTTGTGAAAATAGAATTCCTGTGATCACATATAACCATGAACAAAAAGACAAAACCTAAATGATCCTGTTTCAAGTTCGGGTTACTGAAAAGAAAGGACAAAGAAAAGTCACTAAAAACTTGGAAATTTAAATAGAAGTGTGTGGTATAAACATCAAAGAAATTTAGAATGGTCTGTACCTCACAACAGCATAGTACTTAAGAGTGCAGGCCCCAAAATCAGACAGCCTGGGTTTGAATGCCGGCACAGTCCCTTCCTACCTATCTGATTCTAGGTGAGTAATTTAGCCTATTTGTGCCTCAGTTTCTTCATTAGTAAAAATGGGAGAAGTAGCACCTCATGGAACTGATGTGAGACTTACTTGAATTAATATACAAAAAGTACCTCTGAGTTTTTCTGGTAAATGCACTAAACTCTGTAATTATTATTAGTATACCTGTAGTATCACACCTCATATGTGTGTTTTATAATGTTCACATAACCAGTTAATTAAAATGCCAACATTTGCATACCCTGTAATCCCAGCACTCAGGAAGCTGAGGCAGGAGAATCGCTATGAGTTTGAGGCCAAGCTGGGCTACATAGTGAGTTTAAGGCCAGCCTGAAATACATAGCAAAATCCTACCCCCCAAAACCCCCTAAAATGCCAGCTTTTTCTCCTTATTCTCTTTAGTCTCAAAAGAATGAAGTGTCTATGTATTTTTTGTTTTGAATCCATGGGTTTTCTTTCCAGCTTTGGGCATCTGATCTAATACAAACTGGAGAAACATACATGCCAAATGTGGATCCAAGAGTTAAACAGATTTTACAAAAAAGAAGGAGGAGGACAGAAAACGATGCTGGAAAAGACTACTATTGTCTTTTTGTTGCCTTCATCTTCACTGTTCACCTCTGAACAGTACCTGTGGCCCCAGAAGTGAACTTCTCAAGACCTGTAAACCTCTTTTATTTCAATTCTTTTAAAGGAGAATTGTGATTTGAGCTAATGAGTTGTACACATTTACCAGATTTTAGTTACTTTATATTGGCACTTTGAATCCTCAAAGTTGCCCTGAAGGCCTCTAACATTATCTTAGTATAGTATCGGGTAATGAGAAGGAAGCTGGAGTTTATCTTTGGTACACTGTGGACCCTGAACTCCAGGGGTTCTGATGGCACAGAATTTATGGCACAGCTTCTAAGGAGATGCAGCACATAAAACTATCCCAGGAGAACCGAACCATGAGCTCATAAATTGCCCTGGCGTCTGTCTCCCTTGCTTTGTGGCTCTGTAGTCACCTGAGCCAAGGTGCAGCGTGGCTGCCTCTGGAGACCTGCATGTTCTTTCAGGATGTTTGCTGAGAGACCACTGGGCACTGAGCTATGGTGCCAGGCCAGTGGGAGATTCACTCAGTTCTCAGAGAAGAATATCTCCTGTTCTGTCCCCATATATTCTGCAATTTTTCAGGGAAGTGGACTGAAAACTGTATTTGGCTCAAGATATTTCAGCCAACTAGATTTCCACTGTAGGCATTGATACCAAAGTGTCCTAAATCTAAAGGAATAATCAATTAGTGTTCGTGCGTGTGCTTGTGTATGTGTGTTTGATTCTTGACCTTCACAGGAAGTTAGATCTCCAGCCCTGCTCCCTTTCTTCCAGCTAGGTTCCTAAGACTGGACTCAAACTTGCCTCCTCCTGCCTCAACCTCCCAGGCTCCTGGAGTGCACCATTACACCTAGCTGTCAATTATTGCTCTTGTTTAAATAGGAGGCAATAGAAGATTAGAAAGTAATAAAGGTGTTCCTTAAAGGATAGTAGGCATTACTTGTTTTTGCTCAACAAGTAATGCCTACTATCTAATATAAACAACTTTATGGTGCCAATATAAACAGTAGAAAGGAAATACATAAGATAGCTAAGCTAAATGCATGAATATTAAAGAAACAACAACAATAACAGTAACAAATATAATAGTAAGTCCCATATGGTAAATGCACTCTGGCGTGCTCATTACTATATTGATGTCCTTACATTATATACTACACATTTCATTCTCACGTTGCTCTTGAATGGTAGGTAAATAATGGTTTTATTGTTATACAAAGAGATAAATTGAGGTGCGCAGAACCTAATTATTTTCCCAGGGTCACCCAACTCGTCATTGATAAAGTGGGGGCTTGAAACTTGCCTAAGGAAGGGGAAAGCCAGACCTTTCCTGTTACACTTACAGTTTGAAGCAATGTGATACAGTTTTCAACACTTCTCTTTTTTGTGGCTTCTTGTTTTTCCTGAGTCCTGGGTAAAAATCTTGTTACTCTGGCCCCCACTTCCTCGCTGATGAGTGCGGAATGTATTACCACACTGATTCTTTTTAGACATCCTCAGCTTCCTTCCCTTCATACCCCACCCTGTCTATTTTTCTGTTTCCTTTTTTGCTGTGGTAGGGATTGAACCCAGTGGTGCTTTACCATATGCTCAGACCTTTTGCATTTTATTTTGAAACAGGGTTTCCCTAAATTTCCCAGGCGGGCCTCCAATAGGTAGCCATCCCGCCTCAGCTTCCCAAGTAGCTAGGGTTACATGCATGTGCCACCATACTCAGTTCCATTTTACTTTTTAAGCTTCTTTATTATCAGATTTATTTCTCAATTTCTAAAAGAACACAATAAAATGGGCTTTCATTCATGGTAGTCTTCATCATTAAGAGTTCTTCAAAACTTAAAGTAGAAGGGGAAGAGGAGCTTAACATCAAGACCCAAGGCCCCTTCCAGGACTGCCAGAGTCAGCCCCAAATGTGTGGTGTGTCTTGGGTACCAAACCTGAAAGACTTACAGTTTCAGAAGCAATGGTACGAGTGGAGGAATGAGGGAAAAGACGGGGGAAGAGAGGGCAGGAAGAAAAAGCAGCACAGAGAGGATGAGCTTCTTAAGCCCTTGTGAGAAGCTGGCAGGAGAGTCAAAGAAGACCTGGAGGAATGGCCCCAAGCCAGGGTTTCTTTGTGTGTTTGGCCTTATCGCAGGCACCAGCTGAGGGTATGGGGTATGGGATATGGTGTGCGTTCACATTTTTAAAAATGTATTACAGTAAAAGACATTAATTCTCCTCAAAATAGTCCACTCTAAAGATATCCATCTCGTTCTTGCCACTCTCTGAAGCAGTTTTGGAAACCTCTCTCATGAGTGACTTCAGTCATATTATACGGTCTGCCTCAATGTCCTAAATTGGTTCAAAACACTTACCTTTCATGGCCATTTTGACTTGGGGAAGAGCCTGATTAACTTTAGTGCCACATCAGTAAAGAAGGTGGATGAAGATACACCAAAGGAGCCTGCCTTTCCCGGGGGTGGCTTTGGAAGCAACTTAGGCCATATTCTTAGATCATACTTCATAAAGATAAAAGGAAGGATCACTGTCCTTTTCTATTGACACAATAGAATACTACCGGTAACTAGTGGGTAGGGGTCAAGGTCTACGAAGCTTCTGCAGTGTGCAAGTCAGCTCCTGCCACAAAAAGTTGTCCAGTCCAAAATGTCAGTGGTGTTAAGGTTGAAAACCCTCAAAAGCAACAATGTTGGTTAACTAATCTATTGAAGCCAAATAATAACTTTGATTACTCAGATCTGGGAATGTGTGTTGCACAATTGCTTAGGATATAAACAGTCTCAGTGTGTCTTGATTGTAGAAAGAAAGGCACTAACAGTTGGCCTTAGCATTGCTGATCACAGCCAAGGAAACTAGAGAGCTGTAACACACAACCGTCCTTACTACCTGGAGGGCAGCCTTCAACCACGCTGGTCCTTACCTGACACAGTTTGTTATAATCTACTGCAGCATTGCCTGTCGATTTTTCCTCTCTCTTTTTTTCTTTTGAGACAAAAGCTCACTGTTTCAAGCTGGGGAATTAACTCAGGGCTTAGTACAAGCTAGACAAGTGTTCCATCATCGACTCTGCCTTGTACTACTTGAGTATTTTTCTCTCTTTATCTTTTACTTATAAAATGCCTTTGTGTTTGACTTGGTATCTTACTCAAACATTTTAAGAATTAAAATACCAAGGTTTCAAAAATTCATATTATTCTTCCCAAAGAGAAACATGCAATGAATACATATGTGCATTATATGCACATATGTTGTGAAATGTTGAGATTTAACTCACCTAAGTTCTCTATTTGTAACTTCTTTACCCTAAACTGCCTAAAAATTGACAGATGACTGGCTCAAAATGGACACGAATGGAACATGTAACTTAAAAGCCACTATTTTTAGTACTGTACATTTTAAAAACTATTGTTTCTGTAATGGTAATTAAGGGAAGAATGTTTCTCATCAAAGGATTCTGCACTAAACCAATCATATAAGCTTTGTGTTTCTTTCTACTTTATCCAATGCACAAATCTAGTTCTATTTTTTGTATCACCTTCCTACTAATGGCTAATTATCTTGATTCTAGCATTATCTCAAATATAAGAGAGCCATAAGTGACCTTAGAACAATAGGCTTTGTTTTCTTTTTGCAGGGCTTGGAATGGAACCCAGAGTCTCAGACATGATAAACAAGTTGTCTTAGTTACTTTTCTATCTTTGCTGAGACAAAATACCTGATCCCCAAAATCAAGGAAGGGAAGGGTTATTTACCAGAAGTTTGTGGAGGTTTCCAGTCCATAATTAGCTGGCCTCAAGGCAAGGCGGTATACCAGAGGGGCAAAATAGTTCATAGCAGTGGAAGACAGCAAAAGCAGTACGAGCAAATGGGGCACAAGGCAGGAATGAGCCTCTTTCCCTCCCTTATACTGTATATAGGCCAAGGGTGGGTGCAGCACCCACACCACCAATCCCAGCACTAGACAACAAACCAATCACAAACTCTAGACTCAGCCACCTCCAAAAAGCCTACCTCGACATGACCACATGAGGCATTGGGGGGAAACATCCAGACACAAACCATAACACAAGTGCTGTACCACTGAGCTACATTGTCAGCCCAGAATACTGCTTGTTAACCAGAGATATATTTGGGGAGGTTTTAAAAATCCCAGTGTCCTCGCCACAGCCCAGATTAATAAATTCAAAATTTATTAGAGATTGAACCTTGCCCTCTGAATTTTCTGAAATTCTCCAGGTGAATCCAGTGAACAGCAAAGGTTGAGAACCAGAGATATAGAAGAAAGTCTAATTGACAGACAAAAGCAAAACACCCACACTAAATTTGCAAGCTTATTGTGGCATATGTATTTTCAGGTGTTTCGGCATGGAGACAGAAGTCCCATTGAAACCTTTCCTAATGACCCCATTGAGGAATCCTCATGGCCGGATGGGTTTGGGCAACTCACTCAGGTTGGTTGGGGATTTTCAGTTAAAAATTGTTGATGAATCTTTAGAGAAATACTTACAGAATTGTCTGTTTTGACATGGTCTTTTTATTGTTTGTTTTGTTTTTAACCTTATTGGTTTTATTTAAGCCTGAGAGATGTGCATGAACAATAGGATATATGAGTTTAAAATGCTGAAGAGAATCAAAAGCTTTTAAGGCAGCACCTGAGTTTTTCAGGCTTTTTCCTGCAAAAAGAGCAGGAAAAAGTCTGTTACTCAGTAAGCTGAATGAATCCTCAGGGTTGAGGAATAACATTTTGGGAAGTGATGATATCAGAATTGTATTTCTTATCAGCTGGACAAATTGAGATTGAAGATTCCTTATAAGTCAGCAGTCCCCATCCTTTTTGGCACCAGCAACCACTGGGGGAAGACAATTTTTCCACAGGTTAGGATGATTCAAGGGCAGCATGTTAATTATGCACTTATTTCCATTATTATTACACGGCACACTTGTTTTCTAGTACCATAACATTGTGTACTCCATTTGTGTTACCTTACATTACTATCTCACAAGGAGTGGACCTAGATCCACTCCTGTGAGAATCCTGTGCCTCCACTGCTCCATCAGGAGGCAGAGCTCAGGCAGTGACGTGGGAGAAGGAGAGTGGCTGGAATACAGAGGAGGCTTTGCTTGCCTGTCCTGCCACTACCCTCCCACTGTGCAGTCCAGTTCCTACTGGCTGGGGACCCCTGTTAGAAGCGGTTCAGTAAATACAAAGAGCCCTACTTCCTAAAGCATCTATAGAGAAGGTGTGCTGAGGAACAAAGGGCCCACTAGCCTCACTTCAAAGAGTAGATCGCACCAGAGATAATCCATTCGCTTAAATCAGGTCGATCATTACTATTAACCAGAAACTAAGTGGAAGTCTCTATGAAGTGCCAACAAGGGTGAATAGGTACGTGTGCTCAGGAAATCAGACTCCTGACTAACAATCACAGCTTTTCATTTAAATAAATGTTTCAAGCCCACCTTGTGTACCCAACATGTACAATGAGATGACACAAATATCTATGATAATGTGACTCATACTTTTCCTAATTTTTACTTTTTTGCTATAGCTGGGAATGAAACAGCATTATGAACTTGGACAGTATTTAAGGAAGAGATATGGACAATTCTTGAACGAGTCCTATAAGCGTGAACAGGTAAATTGGGGAGCCAGAAAGGGAAACTTTGACTCTTGAAAGAATTAGAATAATTCTGCATGTGCAAAATTGTTTTTGCTTATTTTCTAATTAACTTATCCAGTCAGAGAGATTGTTTATAAATCTACTTCTCATGATAGGATTTTTTCATAAGAATGTATGAATATGAGTAAGTTCAAAATTGTTCAGGCATCTGTGTAAATATGAGGATAGCCACCACTTGTCAACTCCACTGTCAGCCTGCTAGGTTGCTGTGTCCCCTGGTATCCTCATAACATTACCCGTCTCGTAGCAGATGCTGTGCATGTGATGTTCCCACAAAGCCTGCTAAAAGTTCAGTGGGGACATTCTGTTCTTTTTCTAATACCCATCAGCCCCACAGAAAGAAAATTCCACGTTTCCTCTAATTTGGCTTCTGCCTTGATTCTCCCACTCTAGGTTTATATTCGAAGCACAGATGTTGACCGGACTTTGATGAGTGCTATGGTAAATCTGGCAGCCCTGTTTGCCCCAGGAGGCTCCAGCATCTGGAACCCCAACCTGCTCTGGCAGCCCATTCCAGTGCACACAGTTGCTGCCTCTGAAGATCGGGTCAGTATCCAGGGAGGTCCGGGAGGCTCCACAGGAGCCAGGAATGCAGGAGGGGGGCTGCCCAGACTTGCTGAGAATATGGAAGTCTGAACATGCCTTGGCCTGGGAAGTCTTATTCTTTCTTAAATAAAGCTGCAAGGGATAACATAGGGTAGGGAGTGCCCAGACAAGAGACAGTAGAAACTGAACTTTTCTTTGACTGGCTACTATCCCCCTTGTTTTGCCACCATTCCGACTTCCGTCAGTTCACTCCTTTCCACCTTTACACGCACACATAAGCACACCGGTGTCCTCCTCAGATCCCTGGACTTTGGTGCCCAACAGAACTTTGTTCTCTCTCTAGAAAATATAAAGGTCTCCCTTCCTATCACACACTGTCCTTGCCTATGAAAATCTGCATTCCTAGATAGAGGGAAAAAATTTTGAGTGCGTAACTGATGCCCAACACTTTTAGACATGTCATCATTGTGCTGGCCTCAGCAGCATGTATACAATATACGCCATCATATGAAACTTTTGTAATTACCTTGAAAGATAACAGTACTGCACTCACATATAGCAAGGGAAGAAATGCTCTCAGAGAAGTTAAACCCCGCCATCATATGAAACTTTTGTAATTACCTTGAAAGATAACAGTACTGCACTCACATATAGCAAGGGAAGAAATGCTCTCAGAGAAGTTAAACAACAAACAAAAGTGATTCAAAATCACATGGCTGGGAACTCCCCCTTGAGGATCAAAACTAGTCCTTTTGCACTCTTGTGCAATCTTCTTCCCTAAGATGCATATTAGAATCACTTGGAGAGTTTTCAAAACTGCTGATGGGCAGGGCACTGCTCATAAGAAGCCAGTTTCTGATGGCAGCGGCCAGGAGGAGTATGTAGAAAATACTCTCCCTAGCTGGTTCCACGGAACCAGTACCATAAAACAAGCTTAAAAGGGGTGAAGAGGTACTCTTAAATTTATTTGCACAGGGTAGGACTGACCAAGAACACTTAGACCTTTTCAAAGCATTCGATATATGTAAAATAGTAAAATATTTCCAGATATAGTGGGGCACGCCTGTAATCCCAGCACTTGGAGGCTGAGGAAGGAAGATTGCTGTGAGTTTGAGGCAGCCTGAGCTCCACAGTGAGACCATGTCTCAAAAAAATAAAAATACACATAATATAGTGTTAAATTAATCTCTCAGCGTGGCACTTACGGCTACATGAAGAATATAGTTTGGGGCAAAGACTAATTTCTCTGCATTCACATGACAGGCATGACCATGTGTCTTAGCCTAGTTTCTCTTTCTGTAACTGAGCACCACCACCTGGAAGCTTATTTTTAAAAAATAGAGGTTCATTTACTAATCATTCTGAAGATTGGGAATCCGAGAGCACAATGCCAGCAGCTGCCCAGGGTCTGAGGAGGGCTTTCCTGCTGGATGGTGACACGGCTCAGGGTGACATACAGGGAGACAGAGCAAGTGTGTCAGAGATTACTCACTTTTATACCAAAGACACACACACAATTAGGTGAATGTCTGTCACCACCGCTGTCAACACTGCTCTAACACATGAATCCCAACACAAGGACATGTTTGGAGCAGCACCATCGAATCTCTGTGTGGCTGGAGGCTTGGCATAGACCCAGGGTTTTTCCCAGTGACCCTAAAATACTAGGATATATTAGTGTCCACTTTGCTCCTTTACTCCTCCTCTCAAAGCATTATACATACATATATATATATATATATATATATATATATATATTCAGCATAGTATGTATACATATATATAATCAGAAGTGATATATTATTAGTATTTGTAAAATTTTGTGAATATTTTCTTTCCAAAATAAAAAACAAAATCACATTTGTCACAGTCTTTTCTGGAGCGATAAAGACTGGATAACAGTGTCAAATTAAGCCCATGTAGACTAAGAGATCTATCTTCTTCTGAAATCCAGAAATCCTATCTATCTTCTGAAATCCAGAAAGATAGTAATTAAATTACATAATAAAGAGAATGTAGGCTATCAGAGAGGAAAACAAATAGAAAGTGAAGGAGAGAGAGAAAGAAACAAGCAAGTTTTCACCTATTTCCTGCTACCTGCTTGCTAAGGCAAACAAAATTCTCCTATCAGTTAAGAAGTTTAACAAAATCAGACTTGGACATTGTGACAAACATCTGTAATCCCAACACTTGCAAGGGCGGGGCAGAGGATCATTGTGAGTTAAAGGCCAGTCTGGGCTACATAATGAGTTCAAGGCCAACAAAAGCCACATAGTAAGACCCTGTCCAAAACAAAAATGTCTAACAAAATCAAACCATCAAAACAAAGTTATTCTCAGAACTGTACTAAAGTGCTATAAAGACATATAAGAGAAAAATGTACCCAAGTTTCTTCCCAATTTATGATCTGTTGGATGAGAAAAATTAGCATGTGTGAAACATGTAGAACATATTACAAGACAGTAGACAATGATTTTAAGTGCAACCTGTACATGCTGGAGGAATTTAGAGACCTGTGTAAAGCTACCACAGGACACTGGCTTGTCTTCACAGAGTGGGAACTGGAGTCACACCTCCAGGGTACAAAAAGAGAAGAGTCGTGCATTCTTTAGTACTGCACACCTGAGGTGAGCCACCAAGCTTTGAGACATTTGCCTGATAAAGGGTTGGAAGGGAAAGACAATGGACCTGCAGAGAATAACTGCAGAGACAATTCAGGAGTGAGGAGGTGCAGGCCTGGAACTAAATGGCAAAAGATGTTAGAGGAAGGACAGCAAAATTAGACAAGGGACAGAATCAGAAACGACAGGAAGCAACTGATAAAATAGATGTTTTTTAAAGGAATTAGGTGTGTTATGTACATGTAGCAACTTCCACCAGGAAGTATAAACATTCTGTACTATGCACATGTACTAATAAATTCGAATTTTTATTTTTGTATTTATTTTAAAGGGGGTAAAATTAAACAGAACAAAACAGGACATAAGAAAGCAATGTAAGCGATATAAATTTCAAAGCTAGATGACCTGAGATCTTCACTATCTACCATATTGTCTCTTGTTTTCTTCCAAGTAGTTGTCCATGTCTTTGCATACAGAGAATTCATACCAAACAACATAGTATAAAACTGATCTGAACAGAATGAACAAAGTGTTTTAGGTCTTCAAAACTAGGCAATAGGGAAGTTACTAATGGCTGTCGTAGAGTCTTTCGTTCTCTTCAAAATAGCTGTCCATACTTTCATGTATATTGAAGTTCAACAAAATATAACAGGCAGTAGGGAGAGGTTGCTTGGTTTCCTGGTGCTCCAGGTCCCAGCATGGCATGGGTCCCAGTAAACTCCAGTGGCTCCCTTCCTGGGCAGCCATAGCCTGTCACCTGTCACGCTCACAGCCGCTCACCAGGGTGGAAAGGGCCTCTACAAGCTGTTTCTTTCTAATGAATTGACCATTTCACTGCCCAAGTTCTGACATGGCCGAAAGACCATAGAAAGACATCTCTTCAGGCTCCTGCCTGAACCAACAGCATCAGGAAGCTGCTGACCTTGATTCAAGGTCAGATTTAAAAAATGTTTTTTTAGTAGCTACTAAAATGTCAACCCTGTTCTAGATGTAGACAATATGGCAGTGAACAAGAAAGACAGGATCTCATTCTCTTGGGATGATATCTTATAGGAAATAAGTAATAAGGAAAATAATTTCGATGGTGATGTGTTCCTTGGAGGAAGTAAACAAGTTAATGTCATAATTGCTGGGGTGAGATGTCTGGAGGAGCCAAGGTGGAGTGGGAAGGAGTTGAGAGGAGAGATGTTCCAGGCAAGGAGTGGTTGGTACAGGGCCCTAAGCCTCTGTGTTCAGGGGATGATGTGGAGAGCCACAGTGCTGCTGGACAGAAGGACATAAGAAGGACCATAGCAGAAAAGGAAAGGAGAGAGCTCTCTAGGTCCTACCTCGTGTAGACTCTTGTAAGCCATGAAGATTTTGGATTCTCTTTCAGGTAAAACAAAAAGCTAAAGACGTTTGAGGACCACAATCTGATTTGATTGATTCCTTCAAAAGATAAAATGATAGAAAGGAATAGTATAGTGGCTGTGTGGAGCATACATTGTGAAGATGTTACCTATTTCTGACCCCAAACTGGACCCTTCTCCTCCCTCTCAGAATTGTGGAACCAGTAACCCAGCTGAATACCAATTGAGCAGCACAAGAGATTTTTATTTTTGGCCAAGAATAGGGCAAGTAGAAGAAAGACTTGAATGTCAACTTCTTGACCCACTAGGGATCAGGAGGTGAAAGACATGAAGGAGACAGAGAAATTAATAAAGAAAAGGAAAATATTCTTGTCTTTTCTGAAAATGAGCAGAGATTTTCCAGGAGTTTAGGTACCATCTGTTTCCTTTCATGGGTCTTTCTTGCTCTTGTCATGGCGATTGGCAGCTGACATGAATGGCATGGTGCAGCGAGGATGTCATTCAGCACACAGATGAAATTACAGTGAAGTTAGAAGTTGTCTGTGGCTCACTCTGGCACCACTCTCAGACCCAGTCAGTTTTGGCAGGCCCACTCAAAGAGAAACTTCTGGCTTGCAGGGACCCTGTCCTCAAAGATGAACAAGACGGAGCAGAGCAGAAATTCAAACCAGGTCACGTAGGTAGAAGGAAATGCTGTCAGTTGACCGAATAGGAAGCAATAGAAATACAAATTTGGTATCTTAGACTTGGGGAAGACAACGAAAATAAACAAAAACAGTCTATGTTAGAGATATTTCAAAAGTAGACAAGAAAAAGCAGATTTATTATATTTTGTCATTGGCAAAAGAAGAGAAATTACTAAGAGTAAATGACTAAAAATGAAAAAGTTGGGTTCAGCTTTGCACATGCTAAATTTAAGGTCTTCAACAATCAAACATTCAAACAGTGCCCTCCCCCAAGGGCTACAAATCCAGGACAGATGGAAAGAAAAAGCAGCAAAATGCATGTGTGTGTATCTGTGTACATGTGATATTTGGGATTGAACGCAGGGACTTCATACTGAGCTACATCCTCCGTTATTTTTTTAGTTTTTTGAGACATCTTAGTTTTTTGCTAAATCACTAAGTTGCCTAGGATGGATTTTAACTCATAGTATACCTGTCTCAGCCTCTCAAAATGCTAGAATTACAGGCATGTAGCACCACATCCAGCTAACAAAATACACATGGGAGTCACCAACCTACACATTATAGAAAAAATTATGAGAGATTATGGAATTTGAACTCATTATAAGATTATCACTTTGTCCTCTTAATAGGCTTTAAATTATATTTCCATATGTTTAATATACACCCTCATTTTAACAGTCTGCAAATTGGCAGGAACTGAAGCCAACGCATGGTTAGCTAACGTCTTAAGTTTCTTTCCAAAACCTCTCATATTCTTGTGGGGAAACAGGATACACACTCTCGCGCACCAACTGCTGAAAATGAAAGGGTTTGGGGAGGAATCAAGATAACAGTTATTCATTCAGAAAACTACCAATCATGAGCACTTACCAACAGCACATTTTTATTTAGGCCAGTTTATAAGAGAAAAAAGAGGGGGCGGTTTCAGATCTAAGTATATATTCTACTATTTTAAAACCTGATGACCAATTTAATCTTATTCCCTCCAATTTTAGAATGTCCATTTAGCTCGAACATTTGAATCTTCTATTAAGGTTGCTTTAGTCCTAATGAATTTTGTGTGGCTTCTTTTTCCCCAGATCCTGTTCTGTATTGGTGCATGTGTAGTACACAGTGTTTAGCCTACATGTGTGGAGTAATTGCTTTTCCATCCCCTCCCTCTCCTTCCCCTCCTCATCCATCCATCTCTTGTGTAACTTTGTTGGCAAGGTTCTTCCAACTAACTACAGTCTAATTCCTTTTGTCCCCAGTTGCTCTACATGCCTTTCAAGAACTGCCCTCGTTTTCAAGAACTTGAGAGTGAAACTTTGAAATCTGAGGAATTCCAGAAGAGGATCCAACCTTACCAGGTTAAAAGTAGTATTATTTAAGGGTGTAATTGAGCATGAGAGGCAAGTTTGAGGCCAGCCTGGGCTACATAAGTGTGATCATGACCAGCCTGAACTACATAGGGAGACTTGCCTCAAAAAAAACATTGACTTTTTGCTTCTGTTTTATGAACTATCTTCTTCACAAAAAGTAGATGAAAAGTTATGTATTTTTAAAACACTCATCTTTTGAATCAGTTATACATTTGGTACAGAAATCAGCAAAAATACAAAGAAATACAGTGGAAAGTCTGTCAAGCACTCCAGGGTAACCACTGACATTATTTTCTATACAATTTCCAGTTGCTTTATGCATATGCAAACTAACACAAGTATATTCTGAGAGTTTCACAATAGTGATAATGCTGGGCACTTTGATTTTTGTTGCCATTGTTGATGACGATTTTGTTTTTCATTTAATAAAATGTCTTGGAAATGTTTTTATTTCTGTATAAAAAGAATTTCCTTAACCTTTCTTTCTTTTTCATAAATGTGGTGTGTTTGAATTTGTGGATGCACCATAATTTATTTAACCAGCCCTTATTGATTAAAACATAGGTCATTTCCAATCTGTCATTTTTATAGCATATCTGAATACCTTGTGAATCTAAGCAACTTCATAGATACTATCTGCACAATAATCTACCAGAAGTAGAAATTCTGGGTCTCTTTGAAATACTATCAAATTCCCCTCCAATGAGGCTGGATCAATTTCTTTTCTTAACAGTCCTGCAAAACGTGCTCATTTGTCCAATCTCACCAATAATATGTAGAAAATGTCAGGAGAATTTGCAAATCTGATACATGAGAATGGTATCACTGGACAGATTATCTCTAAAGTCAGGAACAAGATTAGGAAGACCACTATTATCACTCTTATACAACATTGTTCTTTACTTTTTCTCTTACAAAAAGTTGGGTTTCTTCATCCACTTAAATGTTATCTGTATTTTTTTTCTATTCCTAGTCTTTTATTATTCTTTTGAATTATTGGTTTTCTTTTTCTATGTATATTTAGAAATTTTATATATATATACATATTGATATATTTTGTACACAAATATATATATATATATATTTTTTTTTTTTTGAGACAGAATCTCACTATATAGTTCAGACTGGCCTTGAACTCAGTATGTAGCCCTAGTTAGACTCAAACTCATGGCAATTCTCCTGCCTCAGCCTCCAGAGTTCTGGGAGTATAGGCATGTGCCACCACACCTGGCAGTCACTATATATTTTAATAGTCCTGCCTGTAATATGAATGGCATTTGTTATACAATACATGTATTGCTGTTACATGTATTGCCTATTGACTTTGCTTATGATGTTTTGGGGCAATGTAGGCTGTAAGTATATTAACATATAGTCTTAGATGGTCTCTATTATTTTTAAAGTGACCACAATTATTCACCTTGGAAACAGTGATATATCAAAGATGTATCTTTTTTTCACTCATTCTGTTTGTTACATTTAAGTCAAATGTAAGCTCCACTAATCGTCTTTCATTTATTTATTGATTGATTGATAATTTTTACCTTAAAGTGAATAAAACTAAGCAAAATAAAACTGAATAAAGCCAATCAAAACAAAACAGTGTAAGTGATGCAGGACTTCAAAACAAGTTAATAGGAAATCAACAATAGTTACAGTAATGCCTCTTGTGGTCTTCAAAATAGCTGCGCATAACTTCAGGCATAGTAAAAGTCAAACAAAAGAGGACAGAATAGAACCAATAAAAACAAAACAATGAACATAATACAGGACTTCAAAACAATATAATAGTAAATCCAAAATGGCTACCGTAATATATCTTGTTATCTTTGAAATAGCTTCTCATGCCATTGGATGTAACAAAATCAAACAAGACAAAACAATAAAACCCAACCAAACAGAACAGTGAAAATGATATAGGACTTCAAAACAAGATAATAGGGAATTAACAATGGCTACCACCTTCAGAAGGAGATCCTCCATAGACTCTACAGTACATATTGTTATCCTCTGAATAGATGATCAGACTACCGACTTTAGACCTGCAGAGTCAGTGAAACACTAAACACTACAAGCATTAAGTCGTATTTTACTTGAGTAGCTATCCTGGCAGCCTGTGTTTCTCTGGATCAGCCAATCACTTACAGTGAGGGTAGAGAAGACCATGGCTCTTCTTGTCTCCAAGTCCAAGTGGCAGAAAGGGCTGGCATCTGCTTCTCCCCACAGGGGTCTACACATGGCACCGACCTGCAGGGAGGGCTTGGCTTCTTGTTGGCTTCTTGTTCTCCTTCCCAGCAGTTCACAAATGGTGTCAACTCGCAAAAAAGGGCTGGCATCTGGCTATGCCTCCTGTGGTCTGTGCATGGCACCGACCTGCAGGGAGGGCCTAGCTTCTTGTCGCCTTCTTGTTCTCCTTCCCCACAGTCTCCATGGTGTCTATATTTTGAGTTCCTTGTTTACTAAGTTCCTAGGGAAGCCTGCAAGGCTTTCTTTTAATTCTATTACAGCTCCATATTTACATTTACATGTTACATCCACTTACAGATTCTACTAGTGTTAGTTTTGACACTCATACCCTGCTTTTCCCAGATTATCTGGCTGTCCCATCACTATTTATTGAAAAGTTCATTTTTTCTAACTTAAACTGTTATATATTTAAATTCTCTTACATATGGAATCTATTTCTGTCATTTTTATTCAGTACAATTGTCCTTATTAGCAAAAAATCATAGTTTTATTTTATCCTAAGACTTTACACTATGCTTTAATGTCTAAAGTGCTGGTCTGCCTTCATTGCCATACATTCTCTAGTTTTCACAACGATATTTTTAATTTCTTGGTAAACTTTTGAACCAGATACTGTAGTTCCAGAAATATTTACCTTTTTAATGTTTTTGCTAGTATCATATTAAATTGATAAGTTAATTTAGGGAAAACATACAACTTTTGAAGAACACTATGTTTTTCCTATTCTTATTTTAATAATTTTAGGATTTTTCCCCTGGGCTTTACATATTTTTATAAAGGTTTATTTTGCTTTGCAACTAAGGGTAGTTTCCTTTTAGTTTTCTAATATTTATACCCTTGATTTCTGTCTTTTCCTTATGTGCTTTTGTCAATACTTACATGGTAGTGTTGGTAGTAGGCATCCTTGTTTTATTCTTGATTATACATTTTTTTCCTTTTAATCATTCTGGCTTTTCAACCAAAATGCAATGCATATATTTTTATCAAATTCAAGAATTATTTCTCTTCCCTGTTCTCAAGTGTTTTTTTAAAAAATCAAAATTTTTCAGTGATACTCAAATCAAGGCCTTTTATTTAAATGTGACATTGAATTTGCTAATTTACTTAGGCCTTTTGCATTGATATTTACACTTGACATTGAACTATAGTCTCAGTTTCTGGGCTATCTTTGTCATTATCAGTGACACATCTAACTCAAAAATGTTTGAAAGTTTTCTTCCTTTCTCTATGTCCCAGAACAGTTAACGTAGCATTAAAACAGTTTACTGTGAAAAGCTTGGCAAGATTTCTTCCTCCATAACATTATCTGGCGTTGGACCTTTTGTGTTTAGGGGTTCGGAGAATGGGGCACTCTTTAACAATTATTCCTGTTTATTTTATGGACATCTGTTGTGGTTAATACTGGCAAAATATAGTTTCCTAGAAAATGTATTCATCAGATAAACAATATCTTCCAAATGTCTTCCCAGGAATTGTTTCCAATTTCAACAATCAGATAGCTGCATGAGTCTCATGACAATCTAAGAACACAGAAAATGTTTGCATTTCATCCAGATTTCTCATTTCTCACCAGAGACCAGGTCTAGTACATTTTCCTAGGAAGCCTTGGCCTGCGTTCTGCTTTCTCCTTTCACCTGGTGCATTCATTTATATATGAATTACTCTTCACTAACTTCTAAAAGGAATCTGAAGCAGAGCACATCAATAAGATCCAAAGGAACATGTGGCAATAAGTCAGAATTTATACACAACTTTCATATACTAATGAGAAACAATAAATTAGTGTGTGTGCATGAAATTCTTTGCTTATCATTACCCTACCCAATATTACTGGAATACATAAGCAGACAGACAAATCTAGTCAATACTTACCTCCAGGGGAGTATTTTAAATGTAGGTAAAGTACTCACCTTAAGGAGGTTAAGTATTTTAAAAATGAGAGAAGCATATTGAATTTATGGTTGGATGATCCAGTTCTGTGTTCTGTGAAGAAGAGTGATTCTCACTAGGAACAGATTCACATCACAGGGTACAGTTGGTGATATCTGGAGACAATTTGGACCATCACAGCTAGAAGATTGGGAATGTCACTAATGTGGATGGGGTAGAGGCCAGGATACCACTAACCATCCTGCAATACATGGGATGGCTCCCCATGGGAAAGCGAGCCATTGCAAAATATCAAAATGCTGTTTGCTGCAGATGATAAATACATAAATATTTATATAGAAATATTTTTTCTCTGTGTTTGTTCCAGGATTTTATAAATACCTTGCCAACACTTTCAGGATTCCAAGGCCAGGATCTTTTTGGAATTTGGAGTAAAGTCTATGATCCCTTATATTGTGAGGTAAGAAAACAAAAAAAGAGATTTTCAGTCTGATTTTATGATTTATGCCTGTTTTATAACAGATAAATACATTTTTCTTCCCTTTTTGTATATCTGCCTATTGCTTATACATTCCTTAATACTGACACATAATTTAAAATTTCCCTGAATAGTCTTGACTTTTCTTTTTTTAATATTGACACATAATTCAAGATTTCCTTTAATAATCTTGACTTCTCTTTTTTTTTTTTCACTATGTTTTCGCCCTTCAGAAAATTGGAAAAAAAATTGTTTTTCTTCTATACATTGCCACTTACTTATTTTGAGGTCATTCAGGAATGCTGGGTTTCTGCCATGAGCTTCCATGAAAACAACTGTTATACAGAAAGCAGAGAGAAAAATTGCATGATTTCTGGATACAGAAATAAACAAGCAAGCTATAAGCCAGGCCCTTAAAATTAGTTTATCAGGACAGAATGTTTTCTCCATGTGGTAAATTTGAAATAATCTTTGTAACTAAATTATTATGTTTTTTCAAGGATATTTGGTGTTTTTTGCTCATGAGCCTCCATCTTCTGACAGAAAGGAGTATTTTGTATCCTTGTTTTCCTAACAAGAGTACCAAAACCTTGGGCACAATTCTGACTGATCACCTGACTCATAGCTGCTTCCGAGCTGAGTTCATCATGAGTGCATAGAGGGAGAAGCTGCATTCATAGCTCTGTCCCAGTAATGATGACATTTCCCCTGCCTGTGGCAGCTAACTGCCCCCGCCACCTGCTGCTTTCTTAATGTTTTCACCTTTATTATCAGTACCTGTCTCGGTGAAGATTTACTACCCTTGTAAAAGATCTTCAATGAAGACAAGAACTACTTCTTAGTTCCATTCTGTTTTTTCTTCCTGTCTGTCATGGTTGTTTTTTGTTTATTCTGGGGATTAAACTCAGGACTTCAGCCACGCCAAGTACACACTCTACCACTGAGCTACACCTCCACCTCCTTGCTGTAGCTTAATCTGAGTTATTCCATGATGAGGCTATACAGTGTCATAACTTTCTCATGTCTCTCTTGCTTATTCCTCCTTTACCTCTGCACTTTGCTCTTTCATGCTCTCCCCTTCCCTTCACATTTCACTCCCCAACAGAACTAGGGGAGCCCTACTCAACTCTCTACCTGCCCTACTGTTTACCATGTGCTGGCTGTCTTAAAGTCAGGAAACTAGAAGTTCATAGGGACAGGCATATGTTATCAAACCCTCCAGAAATACATTCCCTTACCTAACTGACCTCATCTGGCTTTTAAGGAAATATCATCTAACCCTGTTGGGTTTCACCTTCCCCACAGGATTGTAGACAGGTTTCTAAATCTGTCATAAAGGAACGTGGTACATCTTTGTCCTAGTGTATGTTTGCTCCACAAAACATGAATCCACACACTGACCCAGAGTTAAGCCAAAGATTGTGGTAGAAAGGAGCAAGTTAAATCTGTTTCAGTAAATTTTTCTTCTGAAAAATCAGAATCACTACATATCATATTGCAAATTCTTAGAAAGAAAGGCTGGCCCCATTAGCTTTTAGAGATGAAAGAGAATCTTTTTATTGTGGGAGGTGAGTGGTTTGGTTTTGCTTGAAATAGGCTATTGCTGTGTAGTTCAAGATGCCCTCAAACTCACTACGTAGTCCAGGCGGGCCTCAAACCTGTGGCATTCCTCCTGCATCAGCCTCCCACATTAGCCTCCCAAGTACTGGAATTACAGGTGTATGCCACCACCCCTCAGCTGAAGAGTCTTTTTAAAGTCAACAAAAAAGACTGTCATAAATAAAAATATGTACACACATTCTCTTTTATTTGCTACAGGGTGTTCACAATTTCACTTTACCCTCCTGGGCCACAAAGGACACCATGACTAAATTGAGAGAATTATCAGAATTATGCCTGCTGTCCCTCTATGGAATACATAAGCAGAAAGAGAAATCTAGACTCCAGGGGGGTAAGTATTTTAAAAATGAGAGATGTGTATTGGATTCATGGTTGGATGGCCCAGTTCTGTGTCCCAGTCCTATCACAAATCCATGCAGTGACTACAAAAGAGGTGAATCACTCTGTACCATGTTCCATTCTGCAAGAAGGAGACAGTAGTAATATCCATTTCACAAGTATCCAGGGCTCAAATGAATGTATGGACCCAAAAAGCTTAGAACAGACAGCATCTGGAAGCTGATGCACTATTTTTTTATGATGTACTATTAGTAAAGCCTGTGTTACTGTAACCATCAATATTACTCACTCTAGGCCTTAATTTTCCCATCTGGAAAAAGCTAAAGAGTCCTTTTCATCTCTTTCAGATGAAATAATCAGTGATTCATGTGTAAATCCCAGAAAAATCACTTGGTTTAGCCTATAGAATGAATTTTTCAAGGGGGAGATTGGACAAAAGTGTTGTGTTTTCCTGCAACCTTGTGTGGTGAACATATTTTTCAGGCTAATTATGTATTGTAAGTTAACATCTATTATGATTAACAAGTTTTGAAAGTTTACTGGTATTGAGATGTGGTGAGTTATACTTACCAGTGATGCCCCTTCTTGGTTAGATTTGACCGTTGGTAGCATGGGATACCCTGCCATCATGAAGGCAGACCCAAGCATTGGGATGTGGGGTCCTTGTAATCAGGTTAGGTAGGTTTGAAGAAGCCAGGACCAGGCAGGATGGGGATAAACTGCTAAGTGGCCAGGCCAAGATACTAAATAGGGTATGAGGCTCACATGTGATTAATGCAGGCATTAAAACCAATTAAGGATAAACAGCAAGAGAAGGTCTATTATGTGAAAGATTGACCCAAGCCTTGGGAGAGGTTCGAAGTCAGGCTGACAGTCCATTCCAGGCATTCTGAGAAAACCAATCCAATCACCTCAGGATTCCAGCCATTGCCAGGTGCTGCTCCTCCACCCCACAATCAGTACAGGTTCAGCAGAACCCTGAGAGACTGCACAAGAGCATTCTGGGCACTGGAAAGATGGGGAAGATGTTCACCTGGGGTTGTATAACTAAGAAAAAATTCAAGTCACCAAACAGAAGAGTCAGGTGGAGCCAGGACAGCAGGGCTGCACATAAACAGGAGAGTATCTAATGACATATAAAACCTAGCTGGCTGGGAGCAAAGTCCTGTACAGTGAACAGAGTATGATGGGGCTAATCATTCAGGGCAGTGGCAGTTAGTGACCTGAGGAGGTGGCAGACCTGCTGCTACAGTAGTCCTGCTTGGGCAACATAGAGATGGATAAAAGGAATGATCAATCCTCCCTTCCCACCCAGGGAATGAGCTACAAGCCCGACTTAGAGGAGGGGAGTGTATCCAAAGAGGAGGCTTTCCAAAGAGGAGACTTAGATGGAGTCTGGGAGGTTGGCATAATTACCAGGCAAGATATAGACTCTGTGTAGAAGAAAGACCCAGAAAGAAGCTTGATCTTATATGTACTTTACAACAGAAAACGCAGAGGCTACCTATGGCCACAGACCCACCAGGCTGCACCTCAGACAGTGAAGGTGGAACTGGATTTGCTTTTGCCAAGCTCATCTTGGTGGGCTCAGGGATCCAGCCTCTAGCTACTCAAAGTGTAGTCTCATTGCCCTGAGACACTAGCATAACCCAGCAGCTGATTTGAAAGACAAAGTCTCAGACCCCACCCAAGATCAGTGGAACTAAAATCTGCATTTTAATAATTCACAATAATGCCCCACACAAAGCAGGAACTGATGACAATCTAATATTGGATACCAGATGACACAAGTACAAATAAGGAAGGGGGCTGTCCTAACTGTTTGTTGAGGTTTCCTGCTTGTTTTCCCCTTTAGCTACTAGAAGATTCCATGTAAGGGAAATACTTCTCCTCCCTGGTCTCAGTTTCCCCATCCAAGAAAGGTATTACACTAGATTCTATCTACAAAAGTCTTTCCCTGAGAGAGTTTCTAAAGACTGCATTTATGGGAACCCACCTACCCTTCTTTCTGGAGGAGGTCCATTGCCATTTATCAGCCAGGAAACTGTTTCTTGCATGATTCTGCCAAAACCCAAGCTCAGCCTGTTGTTCAGAGCTGGTTAAGCAAGAGAGATTTGCCAACTACATGCTTGTGGAAGGATGAAGCAAGAATGCAGTCCTATACAGAACACATCCACGGTGTGGGTGACACAGAATACAAGAACATCAGGACTATGATTGGCTTCCTTTGAGCTCTGACAGAACTCTGTTGGTTTCAAGGGTGACGCTTGTTTAGTAAGAAGTATACAAACACAATGCCCCAAATCCCTACAGGAACATCTATCTACCCTGGTCTTGATGTAGACCAGGGCTTGGCATTCTACTGCCAACCAACCAAACCCAGCCCACTTCTCCATTTTTAAGTAAAGTTACTGACAGGAACACACTCATTCACTTATACTTTGTTGATGACTGCTTTCATAACACCACTGAAAAACTGAAAAGTTGCAAAAGATCTTATGGCCCACAAAGCCCAAAATACTTGCCATCTGGCCTGTATCTGGCAAATAGACGGGGTTATCTAACTTACTATAGCTCAGAAATGAAGGATATGAAGTTTATATCTTCTGGCAATGATGTTTTGTCTAGTTTATGCCAATTCAGTAAAAGATGCCAAGGGGAAGTAAGGAGTTTGCTCTATGTTACAGTGTGGTCTAATGATTACGAACAAAGATTTTCTTATACACTGGGTTCAAAGCCCAGTTCTCCTACCTACGAGCTGTATAATCTTGGGTAAGTTGCTAAGCCTGAGTCTTGGTGTCCCCACCTATGGGACAGAGTATTGACATGCCAGAGCCCAGAGATAATAGTATGACTCATCTCTCATTACTCTGGGGAAAAGAAAATACCCCTTGACTAAGAATTGATACCATAATCATTACCAAGATTGCATCTGTCCAAAGCATCTGTTGACAAAAGACAAGTTACTAACTGCATGTGGTTGTCATGACTCCAGACATTTGGCAGCAGAATTTGATACCAAGATGGCATGAAGATCAAGCTAATGTCCATAAGTGTTCTAGAGGGCACATTCTGTGGGGCAGGAAGATTTACATCCATTAAACATGCAATATCTAGGAAAATCCAGCCACTGCAGAAACATTGTGACTATTGGTGTATAGCCCCCTCTTGTTAGAATTTAACGAGCTTTTTGAAAGCAGATCCTGTGTCTGACCCATCATATCTGCTTGTTTTGAAATTACTGAGTGGGCTTGAATCGGGGAGTACAGTCAGTTAATATCAGTGCTTGCTTATTACTCAAAGTTAATAAACACCACTGGTCATTCTCAGACCAAGGGAACCCATGCATAGTAGAGAAATTACCAGAGATACAAGGAGTCTCTTAAAACCCTCAATAGAAATAGTTGTGGAGTCTCTGGGACAGCATGGCCTCAAAATAGATGCTGGCATGTAGGTATGGACACACACACACACACACACACACACACACACACACATAATCCCAGCACTCTGGGAGGCTAAGGCCAAAGGACAGCAAGTTCAGACCTAGCCTGGGTAACTTAGGAATTTAGTGAGACCCTATCTGAAAATTAAAATTTTTTAACAGGGCTGGGGAAATAGTTTAGTGTGAATCTCTAGTACTGTTTTTTAAAAAAACCCAAAAACTCCTGATGGCTCTCTGAAGTACAGGCTTCGGTGTCTGCAAACAGGAAGAAGTGTGGGGTTTTTATCTGCCTTTCACTGCTCAGGAGCAACAAGAGTTAGGTCTTTGGATCTAAAGGCAAAAAAGTCTACCTCTACTGGTAGAGGTAGACAGAGATGGTAAATGAGGGCTAAAACATTTGCTACAGCCCAGTAGCAACCCTAGAGTAGTGAAAGAAGTGCAGACATTTAAGAGAGTTGCTGAGAAAGACGGGCCTGACCACCAGAGGGTGGGAGCGGATGACAGCAGAGGACAGGGCAGCTGTTGTTCAGGTCTGCTTAGGAGAAGATTCCTGCTAAACATTTCTTTAGAATCTCAAAAGGCCATCGGGAATTCCTTCCTAGTTTATCAGCCTCCTTCCTGATTTCAGCTGTAACAAAACCCAGCAGAGAAGCCAGAAATCCAGATTTCATTTCACAAAGGTCTAAGGCACAGAACATCTACCTAGGCACCAGCTTCCTTAGCTACACATGAGGGATAGGCTGAGAATTCAGGAAAATTGTTTGTATAAGTCACGTTACCTGGCATGCTGTAGATGCTCAAACAAAACGAGGTCTTTGCCTCTCTTATTGAATCCTTGCAGCAAGAATCTCCATTATGAGCAGACATAAAGCTCAGAAACCAAAATATAAGACTGTGCTCCATTCAGTTGCATTGTTAATTTGTCTTCTTTAAGGTGTCCTGGTTAATGAAATCCTGAATCACATGAAGACTGCAACTCAGCAAAAGAAGTACAAAAAATTTATCATGTACTCTGCAGTAAGTATTTTTGCCTTCACTTAGCTTCCTTTATTTAAGAGTGTACTGGCTTGGCAAGTGGGCCCGCTGTGTCTCCATCACCCAGAGCCTTGTTGACACCTGCACAAAGGTTTCAGAACTAAATGTGCCATTTTAGCACTAGAGGAATTCACAGTCTAATGATGATATTGAGGAGACAAACAGGGCTGAGGGTGTAGCTCACTTAGCAGACTGCTGGCCTAGCATGAACAAAGTCCTAAGTACGATCCCCAGCACTGCCAAAAAGAGAAAGACAAATAAACAGACACACACCTTACAGAGCAGTACAGAAGCGCCAGACAAGCAAACACTTTGGTGGCTGTGAAAAAGTAGCCATCCTGTCTGCTACGGGAGGGTGGGGAGGAGGAGCACAAGGGCATCCTGGACTAAACCACCAGCAAGGCAGCAAGGTGGAAGGTGTCAGTAAGCATTTCCTCACATGCAGGGAACTGTGAGGGCAGAAGTAGAAGGCCAGGAACATTACATAGATAAACTAAGTTGACGCTAACTGTGCTGTCCCACATAGAACCTCACAACTGGGTAGCTATTTCAATTGAACATAATTACCTAGGTAAAAATGAGGTCCTTCGGTTGCACTAGCCACATTTCAAATGTGCAATAGCCGCACACAGCCAGTGGCCACTGAATTGGACAGCACAGACGTGAGACATTTTTATCATCGCTGAAAGTTTGATTAGACCGCCCTGATACAGAGTGTCAGAATGTCTGAGCTGGCAGACACTTTAAAGGCTGTCTTGTTCTACATGTTTCTTGGGGGCAATGTAGAAGAACAATGAAGCCAGGGAGAAGTCTTGAGGTGTTTTCTCAGGGGAGACAGGCAGGATCACAGGACAGGAGGCATATTTCAGAAACCATTCCTTCTAGCCAGGCATGGTGGGGCATGCCTGTAACCTCAGCACTTGGAAGGCTGAGGCAAGAAGATTGGTGTGCGTTCAAGGCCAGTCTGAACTACATTGTGAGACACTGTCTTTAAAAAACATATATATATATATATATATCATGACTGGAAGTCAGAAATAGGATTTATTATAACAAACTTACATATTATCTGGAAAAATGGGAATGAGGCCTAAAACTAGGATGACAACAGGAAAGGAAGAAGAATTAGCCAGGTTACAAGGAAAGCTGTGCTTTGGGTATAGAAAGCCACGTTTTCATTCATGCAAGAAAGTAAATGGGCTGGGGATCTATCTCAGTGGCACAAGCACCTGCCTGGCAAGTGTAACGTGTGAGTTCAATCCCTGGAACAAAACAAAACAAAAAAATAGAAAGTAAATGGGTAATGAAGATACAGGGAAGTTTACTCTCTATCAATGCCTCTAAACAGAATGGACTAAATGTATAATCCATGGGGAGAGCAGAGGGCAGTACTTCCTAAAGAGAGATGAGTCGAAATCAGCTGATTCTGCCAAATTTATTGTTTCTAATCTGTTTTACAGTTATAACTTGTTGAGTGACTTCTAGCAAGTCATATCTGTAATGCTTTGTCCTTCTCTATTAAATTGGCTCTAATCCCTTGTGAATATATGTATACTGGCATACAATCTGGGTTTTCAAATGTTACAGATGTGGACATTGAGGGTTACCTAAGATTAGGTAGCTGACCAATGCCAAATCACTCCCCTGTGCCTTCTAGCCATTTTAAATTTAAGATATTCTTTAGCACTTCATATTTTTTTGTCTCCCTACACATTTATGGCCTCAAATACTATTCCACAACTGTAAAATCAAATATTATACTAAAAATCCAAGTTAGTATACAGAGTTCTAATGTATATAGTTTTTAATTTTATTTAAGGAGAAAAAAAGAAAAAAAACAGGAAAAAGGGTACAAGTTATACAGAATTTCAGAAAAAATAAACAGTAGGAAATCACTAGTTAATTACATATTGTCATCTTAGAAATAGTTGTTCAAGTTACAAAATTAAAGCATATAGAGGGGACTTTCAAACAGTGAGACTGCAAACAGTTTTGTTCAATGATCCAACAAATCTCAGTAATATGGTTATCTATCTTATATACTTAAATATATATGCAATTGTATCTTTTAGAGAACTTTCTTTTCCTTTCTTTTGTACAATGACAATTACACATTTTGGGTTTTATTACTCCCACAGTTCTTATTACTTTTTTTTTTGAAGAAAGTAAAACCAAATGTGACTTACCAGGACAGAGTCAGTCAAATCAAAAGGATGGACATAATACATAATGTAAAAACAAAATACAAGGTGATCAACAATGGTTACCATAATGCCTCTTGTTATCTTAAAAAGAATTGCCTATATCATCAGTTATAATAAAATTGAACAAAACAGTAAAGAATAAGACCAATAAAACCAAAACATTGAAGACATTAGAGGACTTCAAAAGAAGATAATAGTCAACCAGAATGGGCGTCACAATGAATCTTATTGTCTTCATAGTTGTTGCCTATACTTTCAAACTTGGTACTATCAAGCATAACAGAATAGAGGAAAATCAGTCAAAACAAGATGGTGAGAGCAATACAGAGTTTCAAATCAAGTTAACAGGAAATCAAAGTGGGTTACTATAATATATCCTGCTATTTTTATTTATTTTTCCCTTAATTAAAAGGATAAAAATGAAAAAGATGAGTTCTAATATATTTTAAAATTTAATGAAAATCAATGAAATAAGCAGAAGCAGAGACCTTCTCACCCTGAAGAAGACACAAGATTTAAAACCAGAAGACTTGATTCAAATTGACCTTATTCTATCTTCAAGCTGTATAACAGTACCAAGTTACTTAATTTCTCTGGGTCTCGCTTTCTTTCAACTTTTAAATAGAAATAATAAATAGCACACAGCAGATGCTCATTCAAAACTAGTTCTTACCCTCTCTTGTGTATCAAGTCTTGGAAATTTGAGTCAGAAATCATCACGATGTTTTACAAGTGCTGATGCCTAATGAATGTAAATCTGAACCCTAAGTAAAGATCAAAAATGATTTGTTGCTTGTCTCTGCAGCACGACACTACTGTGAGTGGCCTGCAGATAGCACTAGATGTTTACAATGGAGTCTTACCTCCCTATGCTTCCTGTCACTTGATGGAACTGTACCTTGAGAAGGGGTGAGTACCTGACAAGTTCTTTTGAAAGTCAGTATCAGTGTCCCCCAGGTTTTTTTTATTATTGTTGTTATTGTGGGCTTAAGGATTGTGTCTGTCTTTAGGTTTGGTTTTATATTCGGAGGAAATAATGGTGGTACCAATATCTTTGGTAGTCATGGCTCTTGTAGTTTCCGTGAAGTCTTTTATTTGGAAGTAATATACATGCATAGCAAGTGAAAAATTTGAGAGAAGCATCCTGAATGACAAAAAATAAGTTTTTCTTTCTACAAACAGTGAGGTATTCTAAGAACTATGCAGACATAAATTATTCTTTTGGGGGGAGAAAACAGCTTGAAAGATTCCAAGAAAAAAATGAAGTTGTGTGGTACTCACATAATAATAGTCTTTCAATTAAAGACTTCAAACATACCCATGCATCTTCTGGTGACTCATATCTACCGGTCAAGATTCTTAAAGCACAACTTCTGAGCGATGTTTATGTCTTTGTGGTCTGGTGTAAGCCTCCCTTGATGACAAACTTGACCTCCTTAGAAAGATCAAAGTCACAGAGGGCAAGTGTCCCAGTTTACCTAGCATTGCAAAACACCTGAAGCATAAGTTTTATGGTTCATCTGGGGATAGTCTGGGCAAACCAAGAGGAACTGGTTACCATCAACAAGGTCACACTGAGAATTTGCAAATGGTTTGCATCAATGGCATTTTCTTTGGAAAGAGAAAAGTCACCAGAACTCATGGGTTGGACAAAAGCAAAGAAGGGGCCAGGTTAAGATAGTGATCCCAAAGTTTTGTTTCTAAGTTGATTAGGAGCTATGGTTTTCCCTCCCCTCAAGGTATTCACAACAGCTGTGGGCAGGCAGGGCCCACCTGAGCATGTAGTCACACAAGTCTCGCTGTTTAGAAGACCCCATGCTTGCAGTGCTCTGCTGTCACTATCTTGAAATTCTCAGTAACCTTCGTTTTGTTTTACCAGAGGGCCTTGTATTTCATTTTGCAAACACTGTAACCATGGATGTAGGCTTTTGAGTCTCTGAATTTGTGGAGTGGAAAGTAACAACACAGAGATCTCATTCTCAACCAATACAAAGAGAGTTCCTTTATTAAACCTTTAAGTGAATGACAGGCACAATGAGATAGAACTGAAATATGGCCTTAGCTGGACAAATACCTGGAGTCGGGGTGGAGAGAAGACTAGCAAATGGAAGACTGTAGAAATGAGAGGACTGAAAACATAAAATATATACTTAATAGCAAATTCTGCAGAAATCTGCTTATATGAAGGCCGACTCTGGGCACAGAGTGATAAATAAAACAAAATTCTATGATTGACTCAAGCAGTAGGCACTGTCTTTTCAGAGGTAAGACCTCAGAAGTTACTGACTTTCTCAGACCCCTCCTTTCTGCATCCCATGGTCCCAAGCTTGTATTAGGGTGTTACAGAATCTTCTCCCACTGAATCACTTTCTTTCACCACCTGAAGAAAATTCATGTTATGACCCAAATGTGGAGTATTGTTCAACTGAGAGACCTTGACAAACACACAAATTCAGGCCACACAGTGGTCAGGTGATTGTTATATTTTTTTCATTGACACACCAGAGAGCTATCAAAAGGTTAAATCTGATTGCTTTTAAATTAGGAGCAAAGAGGAGACACATCAACTTGTTTATTAAATGATCTGTACTATAAGGTGATCCCACGTTGTTTTGGGATTTTGGGGGGCGGTTTTTGAGACAGGGTCTTGCTGTGTAGTCCAGCCTGATCTTGAACTCACCATGTAACCCAGACACAGCAATCTTCCTGCCTCAGCCTTTAAGTGCTGGGATTCCATCCATGTGTGTCCACATTCAGCTAGCTATTCCACATATTCTCTATAAGAAGAAAAAGAGCAAAATAAAAAGGAGAATATGTTATTTCCAACCCATCTTAAATATTAAATTGTTAAGTTTGTAGATAAGGTAAATATATATCTAAATATTTAATTTTTACTATAATTTTTATTTTTTAACATTAAGTTTATGGGTATAATTTAGATATACATAATGATTACATTCTTCAGGGGAATATATACCCATGCATAATATATCTGGATTTTTTTTTTGCCTTCTCTCCTTCCTTCAACACTTCTTCCCCTTATTTACAAAATTTTGATTCCATTTTATTCTTCTTTTTTCATTTTTTTCCTTCTTCCCTTTCCCACTCTTCTCCTTAGTTCCCTTTTCCTTTGGAACAATTTCTTCCTTTTTTATTGTACCTGGAATCAAACTCAAGGACCTCACACTTGCCAAGCAGGCACTGTGCTGCTGAGCTATATCCCTGGCCCTGAACAATTTCTTCCTATTTCACCATTTCTGTTATACATTTTGTTTCTTACACTTTCAGTTTCTCATACCATGAGATACTGACACATGTGTGTCCAATTTATTTCACTTAATAATATGGTCTCAAGGTGCATCCATTTAGCTATAACTGCCTCAAATTTATCTTTTTTTATGGCTATCTACTACATAAATTTAAAACAACAGGGTGTATAATCTGTTAAACTAAAAATATTGCTTTTTTCATTTACTTTATGAAATTTTATCTCAGTTCCTCGTGTGCATCTTAGCTTGTGTCTTCCCTACTAGACCCAATTCTGAGCCCCTCAAAACTGCTTTCGAGATATATTAGAGTAATTTTGGCTTCTGTGTACCTGAATTTCACATTCTCAGAGGAAGATAATCTCTCACTTGTCTAGGTCCTGAGAAGGTAGTGACTGCTGGTCACTATATTCCATGTGGGGTCTGTGGGTGGTTTTCATGTGGTGGCTGAGTACCCAGGGTTCCGTCCCTGGGACCCCCATCATGCTAAGCTCACCTGCCTGCCTCACAGCAGGCAGACTGTAGCAAGAAACAAGGGAGGGTGGGAAAACCACCAGTTTATCAACCACCTCAGCCCAACAGGAACACATATCCTTTCTGCTTGCTTTTAACTGGCTAAAATAAGACACTTGGCTCAACAAGTTGCCAAGAAGTCTGCGAAATATAATTACTTCTGAGACATCACTCTTCTGTGGAAAGCACCATGATACCAATGGTTCAGTCACATTATCTTGAAATAAAAGATGTTTCACTGGGAAAATTATACCAGGTATAATATAGGTATAACAATTAGGTATAATATATACCTAATATATTAATGAGTATGTAATGAATATGAGTGCATACTCATTAATATATTAGGAAAGTTTTAAAAGCACATCTTCTAAGTAAATATTTATAGTTATTATGTATATATGGTTTGGGGAATTTTGGTTTTGCCATGTTAGGGATTGAACCTAGAGACTCATACATGCTAGGTAAGCACTTTCCCACTGAGCTACAATCCCATTCCTTTTTTTTTTTATTTTTTATTTTGAGGTAATTATCTTAGTTACTTTGCACGCATTGCTGAGACAAAATGCCCCACGCCCAACATGAAAGAAGGAAAGGTTTATTTCTTACAGTTCTCAGAGGTTTCAGTCCATACTTAGCTGGCTCCAAGCAGAAGGGTGGCATGGCAAGCTACCATTCATGGCCAGCTGCAAACAGCAAGGTGCAAACCCACAAGAGAGACACCTTCTTTCCGCAGTTACATTGTATGCTGGCGCCACCTCTAGGTGGGTGTAGCACTCACATCACCAATCTGAGTGCTGGACAACGAACCAATCACAAACCTAGATTTGGTCTAGTCCATAATTGCATGAGGCTGGGGGGGGGCACTGATATAAACCATAACAGTAATGCTTTGCTAAATTGGCCAGGGTAGCCTCCTACCTCAACCTACAGAATAGCTGAGATTGTAGATGTGCACTACCACACTCTTGTGAACATCAACCAACTTATTTATAACATTCAAGAGTTGAAATTGTGAGGTTACTATACCAAAAACATTCATTAACCCCTTTGAATTTCTCTCCCACCTCTTTGGCAAATGATTCCTACAGGCAATTCAGGTTGGTTTTATTGAGGCTGAGTTAGGCCATTAGACCCTTAAATAGCAGCTTGTTTTTTGAAATAAAGGTTGAGGGAACACTCCTTAATGTGACACCAGAGTTGAATATATAGATGTGTCTTTCTAGGAGATAATTTTTATAATAGCCTCCTATATACTCAAGCACATATCTTATTTGGTATGATATTTATGGCCTAGTTAAGGAGAGGAGATATACAGTCAAAGAAAGACTACAAACATATTGAGAAAAAAAGAGACAAAAGAGTAAATGAGAAGCAGAAAAAAAGAAGAGTAAGAGAGGAATCCTATGACCCCCACTTGCCTCTCATTTTACATCAAAGTCTCATCAAATACACACCCATGTCCTGCAACCATCTCCTCTCAGCTCTTTAAGTATATTGTTTTCCCCCTTATCCACCTGTTCATCTAATTAACCAAGCCACCCATTTCCATCCTCAAATCTGTCCCACCTGCCCCCAGTCTCCCTGTTCCCCACACATAAATTGGCTACCATCTTGTTCTTGTAAGCTCTTTCACTAGTCCCTTAAGTGACCTGATACAGCTCAACTGTAAAGAAATTCAGTGGCCACTCAACACTGCAGGACTAACGAGCTCTCTCTTCTGCCTTTCCAAACCAGTGAGTACTTCGTGGAGATGTACTACCGGAATGAGACACACCATGGGCCATATCCCCTCACGCTGCCGGGCTGCACCCATAGCTGTCCCCTGGAGAAGTTTGACGAGCTGGTTGCCCCTGTGATATCCCAAGACTGGTCAACGGAGTGCATGACCACAAGCAATCATCAAGGTACAGAGGACATTATGGATTAATATGCACATGCACATCATGCTGCACAGAAAGAGCAGAGCACCCTTTCTCAAAGCAGATACTGTTCTGAGAATGTATATTGGCTGTTACTTACCTTAGAAAGAAGTGGGTTCTGAGTGATAACTGTATGTTCAAACACACCCCTCGAACCTCAAGCAACTTCTACCTCTCTACATAGTCCTGCCCAGAATTGCCCCCAACCTTAATTTGTTTGTTTTGTTTGTATGTCTGTTTGTTTGTTTTTTCAGTGTTAATATGAAAGGACCTTAAATATGATCAGGTATAAAACTTAGGTTAAAGTTCATGGGGCTTCCATGATTGATCATATGGTAACTTTTATTGTTTAAGGGTTTCCAGAATTTGCCTGAGTAGAGTAGAGGAGGATGTACTTGAGATGTCTGAAGTGTACCATATTTCAAAGGAAATCTCTGATCTAGGGTTTAATCCTAGGCAGGTGGACTAAAGATCAACTTATCCAACAGATCCAGCTTCTCTCAAGGAGAAGCAAAAGACAAAATATAGTGGTAACTGAAAACTTTCTTCACTGGTATTGTGATAGTGTTTGGTTCTATATTTATGTTTAAACATACTAGGTAGCAGAACTAAAAAATAAAAAGTGTATTTCTGTTCTTTGCCCCCAGAATATTCATGCTCCATTTAAAGAAACCAAAATCAAGCTTTCTAGAATAATTTGATGTATGTAATACATACAGAAGTTCTTGGAATATGTGCATTATAGCAAATGAGTAATTAAATGAGGCCGAGATGTTCACAACTTGTCACAGATGTGGGCACTGTATGGCTTTCTCTTGAAGCTCATTGCCTTAGATGTTGACTCTAAAGTTGGCTTAAGAGGTATGCAATGATATATGCCAAACTGGAACCAAATTAGAAATGCAACAAGGTTCTAATTGCCTGCAACTAAAAACTTACTGGGATACTAAGAATGTGATTATGAAATCTTCTCAGAGGACAAATACTCTGGTATCTTCAGAAAAACCTAAGCAAACTCACAGATCCAACTAAAACCACCCATAGCAGCAGAAGAAATCATGTTCAAATGACACTCTTTACCGCCCTAATGATTTGCCATGTCCCAAATGCAGCATGTCTAGAGAACACCATGCTATGTTTCTGGTATGAATAAAAATGAGATGGTTTCTAGAGATGGTTTCTACTGGATGCCAGAATCTATACCAAAAGCATTCCCTCTCTGGTTGGTTATAAAATTATTGACATAAGACATCTATTGATGTGCTTTGCTGTGTTATTTTCCAAAGAAATAATTGTTGTTGGGATGACTGTCCAAGCTTGTAACTTTCTTCCAGGAGTAAGCTGAATATAAAATAGTGAATAAAGTTTTATTAGGAAGTTCAAAGGCATTATTTTTATAATGAACTTTGAAAGTTTGTGTGTGTGTATTTAATTAGAATAAAATTCCTCCAGGAGGTTTTCAAGGGCTCTCTTTGAAAGTTTTATTTTAACATAACTGAAAACAATGTATTAATATAAAGGAAAAGTAATGAACATGTTACATTGAAAATGCAGTTTGAACTTATTTCAAATAATGGCTAAGTGTTGAATTGTTCTCCCTTATCAGTTTAAATTGGAATTTGCTCTGTAATCCCAGTACTCAGAGACTGAAACAGGAGGGTCATAAATTCAAGCCTAGCCAGAGCAATTAAACAATACTTTGTCTCAAGGTTTAAAAAAAAAATTAAGATAAAGTCTTGCTACACAATTAAAACTGAATTTGAACTCACTGTTCTCCACCTACCTCAGCCTCAGTGGTACTGGGACTATGGGTGTGTACCGCCACACCAGAATTCAAAATAAATTTTAAAACTTGTCAAGACCTGGGGATACAAGTAAGTACAAAGGTCAATCCCCAGCACCAAAACTAGAAATAAATAATGGAATTTGCTAAGACAACACCCTCAGGAAGTTCCCAAGGTGGTAAGGAAGTAAAAGAGATACATATTACACAGAATATTAAGAGTTATGTTTAACGACTACATAGGTTGCAATGGGAACAGAAGTTACCTAGATGTATAGGAAAATGAGTAAGTAAGGAAGACTAGTAAAGGATTTCTGAGGAAGCAACAACTGCTGTGAAATCAGGCTGGACAGGGGTTTCTGACAATGTGCTACAAGGTACTAGAAAGGCATTTGCCAAACTTTCTATTGGCTTGAAGCTGGAAAGAATCGGGAAGTTAACAGTTTCACACTTCAAAGAGCTTCCCACAGGGTACATTCAAGGGGTCATCTCTAATAAGACAACATACCAGTTCCATGAGTAAGCAGGGATTTTATCTGTTATGTTTTCTGCGTTATCTCACCTCAACAGAAGTTCCTGTGCCAGCCCTCAATTGATACTTAAAAAATATTTACTTGATTAATGTGTAATTGATTACCTTTCCTCCCTGCATCTAGTCTTCTCTTTTAGCAGCATGTGACAATTTCAGGAACCTGGGTTCTTACTCAGTGTTGGTAAATTCCTGAGTAGGAAGTAACCACCAGGCTGGGTGACCATAGATATTATAAAGCTCATTGAGGTGTGAAAGACAGGAGGGAGTGAATTATTTCTTGGTAGATCACCAAATGTAGCATATAAAGTGTAGGAGTCCCTGATGCACTTGAAAACTAGCTCTACCTGGTGAATTGTTGCAATTTATTGAAAAAAATAAAATACAAGACACATAGGGTGCTCTGAGACAGCCAGTACAGGAAGCAAAACAAAAACACTAAACACAGGACATGTCCTGCATGTAGGAGACACCTGGCAGCCCACCTCCTTAGAGGATTTCTCTCATGAAATTCTCTCCACAATGTTTAGGTACTGTTAGCAGACCAAATTAGCCAGATCATGTCAATTAAACTAACCAGAGTCTTCGCCAAAGAATTTGTGAGTGTAAATGGTATGTTACTTAAAAACAATAAAATTCTGCTTTTCTAAATGCTTCTTTAATTCTAGAATTTTACTAACACTGTTAGTCTTTCTTCATTAATGCTTTTGCACGGCTTGCCTCTATATCTAGCTACAATTATTTCACAAGAGGAAAAAGTTTTAGGTTCCCCTCATTCTCTTTGGAAAGCTAAAGGACTACAGTACATAGCCACATGCCCAGCTTCAACTGTGAGCTTCTACAAAGCAAGATCCACACATTTTCCCTCTTTGATGACTCTTCAAGCAGAGCGTGGTGCCTTTTATCAGTATTTGCTGATTGAGGACATGTTTACTTTTCATACTTGACTTGAGTTCTTAATGACTGGGCCCAGATGTAGGCAGCCTGGAATTCAGTTGGTCAATAAATAGAGAAGAGTAGCTATGACTGATGCTCACAAGCATCAGCTCTGTGAAAACCCAAATCACTAGCTGTAGGCAAGTAGATACATGCCAACATGTATGTATGTTTTATATCTGTTTTCAGCATAGTCATCATGGCTTGTCTTGTTCCTCCATTGCTCAATAATATCCCTTCTGGCGCCACCATTTCTCTTCCCTAGATGAAGCCTTCTGATTAAAATAATTTAGCTTTCACTCTTAGGACCATCATCTTCCCATTGCCATATATCATTGTTCAGAATGGAAACACTGGTGCTTGCTTTGGTAGACAGTACAGTAATTCACCCAGCTCACACTCCTGCCCTCAATCAAGGAAACTCTGACAGTCACAGTAATGACCCAGCCACAGCCCTCCCACCACACCAGCATCTAACTGCAGAGCAAATCAATCACACGATTGTTTTTTATTCTGATCTGCCAAGGAGCGATGAAGAAAACTAAAGTGCAAGCTTGCTGTCACCATTTCAAACTATCAATGTTGGAATTTATACTCAAACTTAAGCTGAGTCTTTCAACACTGCTTAGTGAATGCACTCACCCGTTACTGGATTCCTGCTCGTTGCATTAAAGTTTTTTCATTTTCCACCAACTTCTTGTTCTCCTTTGTCTTCTTCTAGCAAACAAGATAATCCATTGATGACTCTTTTAAATTCTCTTTTCACTACCTCAGAAGTGTCAGTGACTCTCACCTTCTTTAGCTGCTCCTCCTTAAGCAGACTAGCTCTTTTCACAGGAGTGGGATCCATTCCTCCAGTTTCCTCAGGACTTCAGTGAGTGGCTTGTAGAGCTTTGTTTTCTTCCTCTGCACTGACTATGAAAATGCCCAACGACCTGTCTTCAAAACACCCACAAATGCCACCCACAAATGCCACAAATCCCCAGTACTCAGGAGGTTGAGGCAGGAGGAGTGCTGTGAGTTTGAAGCCACCTGTGCTACACAGCAAGTTTAAGGCCCGGCTGAACTATATAGGGCAACCCTGTCTCAAAACAAACAGAACACCCACAAGTGCTGTCCCCATCTCACTCTCTTCAGTGCTCATTTTATTTTTAAATTTTTTTAGTCTGTAGGTTTTAGCAGTAGGTATATATGACTGTGACACATAGTAATTGTATCTTCATCATTTGTACCCTCACGTCCCCTGTCCTTCCCTTTCCCTCCTCCTTCCTCAAATCTCCTTTCCATCTCCACACAACCCTAATTTTCTTCAGCTAGCAACTTGCTTCCTCTATTTTACTTCCACATTTCCTTCTTAATTCTTATTCTGTAAAATTATGTCTGTTCTTATGCTCATGTTTTTTAAACTTCTCTTGAAAGTCATGGGTGTCTAACATGACAGTCTCTCCTTTTCTGTAAAATAAAACATGCACATTTTATGAAGAAAAATGAATCTCACAGTGTAACATGGTACAAGTAGTAGGGCCCCGGGAGTCAAACAGAACGCTGTCCAACACCTCGCTTCTGTTGTACTTCTTTTCTACACTCTACTGTCTTGTGCACTCTTCCCTTAGGGAATTTCCCAAAATAGGATTGGTGGGTCAAGACATATGAATATGTAATGAACATCTGTGCACCTGTTCCTGCTCAGCCTGCATCTGTGTTCTGGACACCAAGTCTGTGGGGGAAGCAGCAGTA